GAAAACAGACAGATAGATAGATAGATAGATAGATAGATAGATAGATAGATAGATAGATAGATAGATAGATAGATAGATAGATAGATAGATATCGTAAGATAAGATACGATAACAAAAGATAATATAGAAACTGAGAGAGACAGAAAGAGAAGCCGATGCAAGAGAGATTAAAACATAGAGACAGAGATAGAAAGAAAGAAAAGAAAAAAGAAAAGACTGAATGAATGAGTCATACTGCACGCACGGCATCAAAACAAGCCGTGCAGTGGCACCACTCGTTTACTCACGGAGCGCACGTGAGCGCGCGTGCGTTGAAGCGAGGAGCGCGCTCTCTCTCTCTCTCTCTCCCTGTCTCAGCGGAGATGGTGAGCAAGGTAGTTTTATTGATACTCACGGAGTGCCGAGTGGCTACGCTTTGTTTAGGAACTTGGACCTGTGCGAATATGTGATGAAATTAAATCGCAATGTTTTGTTTTGAGCCCCCACATCTAGGGTAAGGAAAACAATTTGATTAAAAAAATATGGTGTTTTCAGAGGGATATATTTTGTGGAAGAATTCCAGAGGAGTTTATTTCTTTATCTGCGTGATAATGTGATTTTAGTGTGGTAACAAGTGTTTGAATTTGTGTGTGAACCTGTTCGATATCGTGAGGCGCGCAGTATGTGTGTCGCTGTGCGTGTCGCCCTGTGTCACCGAGTGTCATTGTGTGTCACCGCGCGCTCGTTCTCGTGTCAAAGTCACTGACTCATCTCGTTGACACTTACTGTGTGTGTCAAGTGTGTAGGTACGTGAGGGCGGGAAGGAAAGAAAGGTGAAGTGAGTGGGAAAGGTCACTAATTTAGAGAAGGATTAACGTGGACAGAATTATTGTCACCAAGAGAAAGATAAATGTCCCAATATGAGTGGAAAAGTCACTAATTAAATTAAGCGAAGGTTTAACGTGGGTGGCATCTGGCACTTAGAGAGAAAAATAAATGTCACTATATGAGTGAAATCATCTTAAATTATGCACTGGACTAATATGAATGTCACCAAGAGGAAGAAAAAATATGTCACCATATGAGTGGAATAGACACCAATTAAGCGAAGGATTAACGTGGGTAAAATTTGTCACTAAAAGTAAGATAAATACCACTAGAGCTAAGTGAATGGGAAAAGTCACAAATTTACTTAAAGATTAACGTGAATGGAATAGGTAACTAAGAGGAAGATAAATGTCTCTATGTGAGTGGCATAGTCCTAAATTAAGCAAAGGATAAACAAACATGGAATTTGTCACCAAGAGGGAGATGAATGTCACCACGTTAGTGGAATAGTCACTAAAAAGATTATAATTATCACGTCATCATGAGTGGAATATTCAATATATGGAAAAGGTTAAAAATCCCTCCTTAAGTGGAATAATAACAATGTGGAAGTTAAAAATATCATAGCGTGAGTGACATTGTCACTAACTATAAACTAAGCGAAAGATTAACGTGAGTGGAAATGTCGCCTTGTTAAAAAAAATAAAAAAATCGCGTAAATGGAGTTGTCACTAAGAGGAAAATAAATAAATGTCACAGTGAATGTGGAATGTCACTTAATTAAAGAAAGACCGATGTCATTATGTGAGTAAAATTATCACAAAAAGAAAGAAGGATCATTGAGATGACATGGGTGAAATAGATCTAGTTACCAAATGAAATCTGAATGTCATTACGTTAGTAGGAACGCGAAAGGTGAAAGATTTATCACAACATATAGGAAATGGTCACTTAGATTATAGAACAAAATAAGGGTGATCTCTCTGCAATATTTATCGTTATGTGGACCGTAATGCCTTAATGTTCAGTTGGCTTGTGTCCTGGATTAACTGATCTCTCTCGGGGTTAGGCTGTTAGGCGGTGGTAGAGATAGAGGACAGGGGAGAAAGAGAGAGAGAGAGAGAGAGAGAGAGA